TTACCAGTCACTGTTTCTCTTCTTATATCTTTTTGTCCATCTTCCTTTAGGAAAGAACAATTAGTTTAGATGCAGCCAGTCCCTGGGAGTTCTATAGGAACTGTGGATGTTTCTTAAGGTGTTTGGATGTCCATCAAGCAGACGAAAATGTAAAGTTGGCTATAGCTTAGAGGAATGATTGTGTTAGGATAGGTGGAAACAAAATGTCAGGAGGCAAATATTTTTCCCATTGTGTTCTCCCAATGGATGTTGGAACTGTCTTGTGGAGGGTTCTAGGGTTCTAGGAATCAGGAAATGCCGTAATCAACTGTAGGCAGATTGCTGTTTTGTTTGTTTTGTTTGCTTTTTTGTTTGTTTGTTTTTTGTTTTTTCAAGGCATGGTTTCTCTTTATAGCCCAGGCTGTCCTGGAACTCACTCTGTAGACCAGGCTGGCCTCGAACTCAGAAATCCACTTGCCTCTGCCTCCCAAGTGTTGGGATTAAAGGAGTGCACCACCACTGCCTGGCTTGTTTTGTTTTTAAATCAAAGCTAATGAAGATTCTTAGTTTCCAATTTCTTAGGCTTATTGGATCACAGAAAAGTTTTCATGTATACGCCAAAGAATGGATGTTCACTAGAGCATTCAGAAAGTGCTTGGATGGGCTGCCAAGATGTTCAATGAGTAAAGACACTTGCTGCCAAGTCTGATGACCTGAGTTCAACCCCCAGGATCCAGAGGATAGAAGGATGGAGAGAACTGATTTCCACAAGTTGTCTTCTGAACACACACACACACACACACACACACACACACACACACACACACAGAGAAGTGTGAGTGTAAGCTGTAATCAAATGTCATGAGGGTGGGGAGACATGTTGCAGGTATGAGCATCCTTGGGGTCTAATTTACTGCAGGACCATAAGTAGAAAGGGGATGTTTCTGAGGTCCTTCCATGGCTCTGAAGAAGAATGGTGGCTCTGTATGATGCTGAGTGTTTTAGTTGTTTTCTCATACCTGTGACCTATACCTGGCAAGTGTCAACTTAAGGAAGAAGGATTTGATGTGACTCACAGTTGGAGGTGATACTGTCCTTTATGGCAGGGAAGACATGATGGCAGGAGTGTGAGTATTCTGGTTATGGAAAGTACAGAAAGACCAAGATGTGGAGTGGCCTATAAAATCCTCAGTGCCCACCCCCAGGGGACCCACTTCCCCTCCTGACACTGTACCTTCTAAGGGTTCTATAACCATTCAAGTAGCACCTTTAGCTAGTGACCAAGTGTTTAAACAGTCCCATGTCTGCGGGGGGCAGGGGCACTTCACATCCAAACCACAAAAGGTTTATATTGTCAGAATAAGGTTAATATGGTCATTTTAGTTTGGACTTTCAAAGGTTAGAGAGGTGTTTACATTATTACGATCCAGAAGGATCATGGTGTAAAGAACCTTTGGTTCTTCCCAACCATATGTAATGAACTTTCAGAAAGGAAGAATGGGAAATGTATGTTTTATAGGAGAAACATTTTATATATTCATTAAAACTCAAACCAAAGGGGTTCTTAAGTGATCTCCCCCTCCCCCAATTACAGTCACAGAGAAGAGGACTAGATGACTGACTATACTGGATCACTGACAGAAGTTTGAGCACACTAGAATGATTGAGTGTTGTACTGGTAAATGCCAAGTTCGTCTCTTGGTTAAAAAACATTTTGAGGTGCATGGATAGGGAAATTGTTGGGCCCCATTTTGGCCCTGATTTGGGCCTTGTGGACTAGGCTGGCTTGAGTTTCTGCAGCCTTGTGGGAGAGCCTAAGCCTGGCTCAAGTTTTGCAGACCTGTCTCAATCATTGCTGTATTGGGGTGACTCAGTAAGACTTGTTTGGTTTTGCCTCTGATCTGCAGTTGCTAATGTAGAGCTTTGCCATTGGCCCTGTCAGTCACCCCATACCCTCTGTCACCCTTCCCCACCTTCTACGTCATCTCACCCCACCAAAAATCCCCCTCCCTATGCTCCGAGCTTATGTAATCAAGAAGCTGATACAATAAAGTTGAATTCCTGCTTCGACAAGACTCCTGGCACAGTGTGTTTCTTTTGGGCCATTGACAGTCACCATCCTGCTCAGCCCTGGAGAGACCCTGCACGATGGGACTGCTCTCCTCTTGCCTGAACCTGCTGGCAAGGAACCAACAAGAAATAACTCTGCTTTACTAGCTTTCAGGGCATGATTTTAGTTAGCACCAAGGGTCAAAAATTCCTTGAGATTTCCAGGAGAGTAAACATACACTTTACTTGCAAATGGAAGTATGGTTACTGGGTGGAGGGATGCAAACATGTGCTGCCCAGGAGTGAGTACCATCTCTTGACTATTATATTTGAAGAAGAATGAGGTATCTGAGCTCATTTGGATGAAAGAATGCAAGGCAGGAATAGGATTCCACTGCTGTGGAAAGAGACTGAAGTTAGAGGCTGTTGAAATTTGAAGATGGTAACTGTTATGAGATGCAATACCTGCCTTCAGGCATCTTAAGGCTCATTGGATATATGAATGACCCTACTCATACAGACTCAGGTGTAGAATTTGACCAGAAGGCAGAAGCACTTGTGGAGTATGTTATAGCTTTTAAAAAAATGATCCACCGAAGGATGGCAAGATGAGTCAATGTCTAAAGACACTTGTGGCCAAAGCTTGATTATGTGAGTTCAATCCCTGGGACCTACACTGTAGGAGACTGTTCTTCTGATCTCCACAGATATGCTGCTGCTGTACACACACACACACACACACACACACACACACACACACACACCTCAAACAACACACATGTTCATACACATGCACACATGCATATACATACACACATACATGTATGAATGCAGGTAAATGCAAGTGCTCGCATGTGTACACATGTATATGAATGTATGTACTTGCGCACACATACATACAGAAATGTTCTGTCAATGACAGATTATCAGGAGGGGAATAAACAGCTACAAAAGGGGCTTTCTTGTCACTAGAAGCTCTCATAGCATAAATTTTGGCTTTTAGAACCAATTGGTCCAGGACAGCCAGGGCTATACAGAGAAACCCTGTCTCGAAAAAACAAAACCAAAACCAAAACCAAAACCAAAAAAAAAGGAACCAATTGGGTCCTTACAAATGCATGGTCATCAAAGAGAAGGAAGTTGGAAATAACAATGAAGGAAAAAAAGTTTTGCTAGGGGCCACTTACCTACTTTATGTGTATCCTTGATACTATAGCCACATGTAAGCCAAGGGGTGGTTGTACTTAAACCTTCCGAGGTACACGAGTCAGAGCAGTAAAGTGTCAATTATCTTGCTATAATGCCTGGGCACCCTTGGTCCTTTACATATGGTGTTTGGGTCTTACAGTGCTGGAAGAACTCAATGGGAATTTTAGTTTTAAAGTAAGTGATTATCAAACATTTGTTATGTGTTAGGCAAGCAGTGCACGGAGCTTACTCTTGCTTTATAAGATCATATAGTAGCAATTTCCAATTATTATTTCTATTATTTCTATTTTCTATTATTTCAATCCAGTTTCTATTTGTGAACTATTTTAAAATCAGTGATTTTGTTTCTCTTATTGAGAATTTTCATAGTCTCTTCTATGGACAATTTGTGAGGAAAAGGAGACAGGAAACATGCCTAGTTCTTAGTTCAAATTATTGAGACAACAGAACATTACCGAATTCATTTCATTAATTTATGCTTCCATAAGTAAATATTATAACAGACAATTGTGCAGTTATGTTTGGGAGCCTAGAAATATAATTAGTAACAAGCAATAATGTCTTTATGGCTTATCTAGATATGGATTGGATTAAATCTCTATCACAGATCATGAGTTACACTTCAGAGTTTTGAACTGAGGTTGAGAAACACGTTGGTCATTACAGGGACACATCCAGGGAGAAGAAGCCTTACTTGAAGAATGGCCTCCGTTAGCCTGGCCTGTAGGTATATCTATGCAGTGTTTTTCTGATTATTGATTAATATTAGATGGCTCAGCCCACTGTGGGCAGTGTCATCCCTATGCAGGTGGGCCTGGGCTACAGAAGAAAACTAGTTGTGCGCGTCATCGGGAGTCAGTCAGTAAACATCATTTCTTCACAGTCTCTGCTTCAGTTCCTTTCTCCAGGCTCTTGCCTTGAGTTTCTGCCTTGGATTTCCTTGATAATTGACTGTAATTTATAAGATGAACAAACACTTTCCTTTCAACTTGCTTTTGGTCATGGTGTTTATCACAGCAACAGAATGCAAACCGGGACATGATGTAAGTGCTTTCTGGATGAGAATGAGGAGTGAGCACTCCCAGGAACACAGCTGTTGAAAAGATGTGTTCTTCCCTCATTCCTCGTCTTTCTTCTTCATTTTCTTTGAATAATACAATTGGTATAACCTAATAGTAATCTATCTTTTAATCATCTGCTGTAAAACTGAAAGCTAAGCTTAATACTAATTTACAGAAAGCACATAAGTTACAGATTCGTGACAAGGTTTTTACCTCAAAGTTTTATTAATCAATGGTCATGGTTTTATGCCTATTTTACATATTTTGTTTTACATATACATTGGTTCTATATGTCAATTCAAATGATTGCCATTGTTATTGTTATTTTTTTCAAATCAAATGCTTTTATTTTCGCTCCTTCTGTAGCATGTGAGAAATGGCAGTGACCTTGGCAATAGGTTTAGTGTCTTTGTCCCATTGAGAAGCCAGAATTTCAACATACCTGATGAATCTTTTCCTAAAGAGAAAGAGATGATGTCTAGCCCCAGTGCTGTGACGTAGAGCTCATCTGGAGCTAAAACTTATTTGCCTGAGTAAAGGGACTGCAGTCCTTGAGTTTCTCCGCACGGCATCTTGTTTTGAGGGTGGCAGAGACTGGTCTCGAGTGTCCCTGTGTAGTACTCTAAGGCAAGCCTCACGGCTCTTTATGGTCATGACTCCAGGAAAAGCTGCCCTTGGAAGCTCTTGAGAGACAGTGTTCAATGTTGTGGCTTACACGGCCATCACAGAGGCTGAGTGAGCAGTCACCCAGGGAGGAGGGTCCCAGCTCATCCCGTTCCCATGGGGTAGGTGACTAGAAGGTAACAGCACCCGGGTCAGCCAATGCCTTCCTGTGTCCACACCTAGGAACACCTTCCAGTTGTCCAAGCAGCCGTAGTTGTAAGGATTCCTAAATACCCTGCCCTTGGAGTGTAACCGGCGTCTCTCCTTCTTGTTGATATGCCTTTCGATGCTAGTCTCACCCCGACTGATGAGAACAGCATGCCACATGGTTAGGGCACATAGGGCCAGGGCCACAGAACTGCACAGGAACCAGAGGTAGACAAGACTCTTGTGAGTTATCCTTTCTCGAAAGGAGAAGGTAGGTGGTGGAGTCTGGTGGTACATCTCGACGGCAGCATAAGCCTCCCGGAAAAGGTCCCAACTTCCGCAGCTACAGAAGACACAGCCCAGAGTCATGAAAAAGCAGAAAGAGAAGAAGTAGCGATGGTTTATAGTGGCCCACACAGTTGTTTAGCCAGGGGCAGTGATGATCCATCTTCAGCACACACCTATTACAGATGCTGCAGTGGTGTGTTCGGGCTGGCTTCGGGTAAATGCACTTCTTACAGATGGAGACAGTAGCAATGTCATTCCTGCCCTGGGGTGGGTATCCAGGAGGAGTGGTGATGGCCTGGTAGTAATGGAAGACGATGAGGATCAGATTCCAGTGACTATAGAAGAAATGCCAGCAGAGCCGTGGTACTGAGTAGGTTCGGAGGATGAGGGGCAGGACACACAGATAAGCAATGGCCACGATGGACCCAGTCAGCACGATCACCAGTACCACAAACACCACTCCGAACCAGTGGATCACATTGTCCACCAGCCAGTAGATAGGCTCAAAGGCAGCATCAACAGCAGTGTCACTGCCCCCAAAGGAATTGTAGAGCAGGGAGCGCAGGCAAACCTTGCCATAACGCCAGCGCTGTACCAGGCCCCGGAGAAGAGGTGGGCATCGACGCCGGTAGCCCAAGAGCAAAAGGAGACGCAGGCAGAGGCGAGCTGGGCCCAGTAGCAGACTTCGCTGGCCCCACATGGCTCCTGCCTCCTGCCAGCTTCTCAATCAGCCAGATTAGGCCCAGTCTCCCTGTCCGCCACTCACTGCCTCCTTTTCCAGGTCGGGACCCAGGCTGGGCCGAGCTAAGGCTGACCCACCATGGCCCTTGGCCCGCAGAGCCATCCAGCGGACTGGGACCCGCCGCCCACCCATCACCCGTTATTGTTATTTTAAAGAGATAGTAGCTCATATAACATAAGCTGAACTTGAACTTGCTACGTAGCTAAGGATGATCTTGAACTACTGACTCTCTGATTCTCCCTCCTAAGTGGTGGGATTACAGGTGAATGCAATCATGCCAAGTGTTCCTTGAAAATATTTGTAAAATTGGGCAGAATTTGTGGGATATATGTTTAAAATTAATAATGAAAATGTTTGTGTTTTGCAAATCATTTGAATATTTTAAGCTTTGTATTCATGCCAGAAGATGAGCTTTGGTTATATGGAAAAATGTTCTATGAAAATATTAAATGTTATTCAAAACAATATGATGTTCTCTGCTTAGTATTTTTACACTAAGTAGAACTTTTTTTATAGTGAGTGTGATGGTTTGTATATGCTTGGCCCAAGGAGTGGCACTATTAGGGGGTGTGGCCTTTTTGGAGTAGATGCGTCACTGTGGGTGTGGGCTTAAGACCCTCATCCTAGCTGCCTAGAAGTCAGTATTCTCCTAGCAGCCTTCAAATGAAGATGTAGAACTCTCAGCTCCTCCTGCACCATGCCTGTCTGGAAGCTGCCATGCTCTCCTCTTGATGATAATGAACTGAACCTATAAGCCAGCTATAAGCCAGAGGGATTTATTTGGGCTCATTGTTTTAGAGCATCTCAGTCCACTGAGGTGGGCAAGACATGGAAGGAATAATAGTGATCAGAATGGAACCAAGAGGGAACTAGCGCTATGGCCTTGGGCTACACGCTCTATAGTACCATCCCTGGTGAGTACTTCTGCCAGCTAGGGCTGTATTTCATATGAATGAATGCCTCCCTAGATACTGTCACCCTCTGGGGAACAACATGGAGCCGTGGAAGATAATTCAGATTCAATCCACAGTAGCATGTTTGCTGCTGAAAGAGCAAGGTCTAGTTAGAAGGAGTCCAAACAGGCAGGCTAGGAAGAAGGAAACAGTTGGTAGGGTTGACATCTGGGTCCATGGTAAAAATAGAAGAATAATTTATGAGCGTTATAATGTCCCCCCCCCTTAGATATTATTTGGCGTTGCTTACTTAGGCACCTCAGGATTCACTGTTGTTCCCTGAAGAGTACCGTAACAGTAATGTGTTATTTTTATATTTCTGGGTTATGGTTTGCAAAATGTCAGGGATATCAGTTAGATTAAATATTTGAAGGAGAGTATCTTTTTAAATATTATATAATTTCAATAGGAGGAAATTTAGGAAAATGTTACAAATGTTACCAAGAGAATTATTTTTTCTTTTACTCTTCTGTCACGCATTACATCCCTACCACCGTTTCCCCTCCCTCACTCTCCCCAGTCCTCCCCGGGAATTATTTTCTAAGGTAGAATGATTGTAGGGTGAAAAAGGACTTATTTCTAGAAAAAATGGCAGCATATATAGAAACGTGTTTATATACGTATGAATCTATGCACAGATGCATATTGTATATCTATGAATGACTACAAATTTGTCTCATTATCATCTATCTATTTATCTATCATCTACCAATCTGCCATCTATTTATTCTAACTATCACCTATCCATCTATCAATCTGTTTATTCTATCTATCCTTTATCATCTATCTATCTATCTATCTATCTATCTATCTATCTATCATCTATTTATTCTATCAATCATCTGTCTAACTTTCATCTTTCTCTTTTTCCTATGCTGTCTTTTTTTTCTATCATACATTTTGATGTAGAAAAGGTCATACAAACATAATATTTGTGAATGACATAAGTCACTACTCTTTAAAGCTTAAGTCCTTAACGGTCTAGTAAACAGCGGCAGCACTTTGAGATGACATTCTGATCCTACACTCAGAGTAACGTAGTTGCAGGGAATGAGGTGATCTGAATGGGTGCTGGCTCCCTGTCTTCCCACCAGCCACAGTTCTTGATCTTTTGTTCTCAGTGCTCATCTACTGAGATAAGCCCCAGCATCTTTGGATGCACAGCTGCATTGTGCACAAGGAGACCCCTTCTGAGGCAACAATGAGCAGATCAAGATGGGCATCCAGTCTTCTTTTCTTTTTCTGATCATCCCTCTTGATAATATAATAGCCAAAAGGTCACCCTTATGGTTCAGAAGAGTTTGAATGTTACTGCAGGAGAGATTCTTAAGAAAAAGGGTATGGGGTCACAAGCATACAAACAACAAACGGCTCTTTAGTGTGCTTATGTGTTTATGAGCAAATGTAGGCACACGTATGTGGGCGCATGGTTCTTGTGTATTAAACGTTTACAAAGTACAGACATAGTTGGTGCTTGGGCAGGAAGTCATGGAGCTCCTAACATGTCAAATGGCCCTTCTCTGTTCATCTGCTTTGTAATTTTGTCCTGTCAAACTTCCTGCTTTTATCTGTTTTAAAAATAAATGCTCATCCAGAGGAATTTAACCCTTTCTATGCCTTCAAGCTATTCCACTTTCAGCACTGCACCACATGTTACCCTGAGCTGTTGAACTCTGTCGCTGTTGCATTAGATCTCATAACCTTCCATTCCACCAAGGTCAACACTTGCTTTTTAAATGGCATTACTGATTGAGCCCAGACAGCTAGAGGTGAAAGGCTTTGTCTCTCTGAAATCCTTGTGAAAGAGGTAGTCACTCAAAAAGCCATTCTGAATCTTTTATAAAAATCTGAAATATTAATGCCCTCAGTGAGGTGATTAAAGAAGATACAGCTTCCTCATAAAACTGGAAGCTTCTCTGTTCTTGCCTTCATGATGGGATCCTCCTAGTGGCCATTTCTTGTGGCCACTGGTAGACAGGTGACTGTGTTTCTGAGCATTGCCATTTTTGTGTGTTGTTCAGTCCACATTTTAACATGGGAACATCATTTGATCACATCTGTCTTCCTGTCTCAAAGCATCAGGGCTGTCCCTATCCCAGAGCTACTTTCCGGCTCTGACTCTATGTTCCTTCATTTGCATCATTGACTTACTTCTAGAAAAAAAAAAAGATTCTAAAAAGACATACACGCTCCCACCTCCCTGACTTCATGGTCTCTGAACATGTAGGATTCAGAACAGCTCAGACATGTGAAGGTTCTGGCTATGCAGAGATGTGGAATAATCCTTAGAATTCCTCTAGGGATGGCTTTATTTTCTCCAAATTCCTCTAACTTTTCAAATTTTTTTGTACTGTGTCTTTAAAATTTTTTATTGAATTATTTATTTTTATTTTATGTGTAAGGGTATTTTGCTTGCATGTATGTATATGTATGCCTGGTATCTTCAGAGGCCAGAAGAGGGCATTGGATTAGATTCCCTGGGACTGGAATTACAGACAGTTGTTAGCCCAGCATTTGGGTGCTGGAACTCTTATCCAGAACTCCTGTAAGAGCAGCAAGTGTTCTTAGCTCTGAGCTATTATGTTACTTACCTCTTTCCTGATGTAATTTATTTCCTCCCATGAAGAAAGGAGATATGGGCTAGGGATTGGAAAAGAGTAGGCTCTCAGCTGGAGATACCTTTCATTAATGCCTAGAACTTGATAAAGCAAGAACTAGAACCAATCTGTCTTATTACAAGAACTAGAAACAAAATCTAGTTTATGTGTATGTGTGGCTCTCTGTGTGTATGTTACATGTGTGTGGGTCTCTATGGTGGACAGAAGAAGGTGTTAGATTCCCTGGAGCTAGAGTCACAGGCAATTGTGAGGTACTCGTTATGGGTGCTGTGAACTGAACTTGGGTCTGCAAGAAGAGCAGCAAGTGTTCTTAAATATTAAGCCATTGCTCCCATCCCCAAGAACAAAAACCTTTTTATAAAAAATAATATTTTTATTAATTCTTTGAGAATTTCTTTGGTGGTTTAAGTGAGATTTCCATAGGTCTTGGGTTTTTAAATTATTGGTCCCAAGTTGGTGACTCTTTGAGGAGGATTAGGATGTGTCACCCTGATGGAGGCCATATGTGAGTGGTGATGGGCTTTGTAGTTTCAAAAGACTCATGCCATTTCTAGTTAGCTCTCTGCTTCCTGATTTTGGTTCGAGATGTGGGTCTTAGCTGCTGCTCTCATCATTTGCCGCCTGCCACCGCTGTTCCACCATCATGGACTCTAGCCCTCTGGAGCCATAAGCCCCAATAAACTCTTTCCTCTATAAGTTGCCCTGGTCATGGTCACAGCAATACAAAAGTAACCAATAAAATTTCATACATTGAATTTTGATAATATCCATGTTTCCAGCTCCTCCCATATCCATCCTCACCTCCTTAGCCACCCAGCTTTGGGTTTTCAACTTCTTTTTTCTTCCTTCCTTCCTTCCTTCCTTCCTTCCTTCCTTCCTTCCTTCCTTCC